GAATGTCTCCAATCGTCCGTCCCGTCTGACCAAAACTGGCTGAGAAACCTGGTGTCTCGGTTGGAGACGATTTCGCTTGGAAACGCCATGGAACCTCACCACCTCCCTCCAGAAGATCTCTGCCACCTTCTTTGAAGCTTGAGGACGAGAGCTGGCGCTGATGGAGAAGGTAAATGCTTGAGAAGACCAATCTCTGGACACTCCCTGATCCAAGTGCGTAATCTCACACTCCATTCCTTTCCACACGACCCCCGGATGCCCCGCGAAAATGCCTTGGTGAAGATGATCTTGCGGAACTCGAGTAGAATCCTTCCTTTCTTCTAGAGCAAGCCATCATGGAAGGAAATCTTCGCGTCGCTGAAGTTGTTGTCTCCTTCGAGTGGTCATCGTTGGATTAGCCCTCTATGATATCTGGTGTGACAACTGACCTCCGGCTTTTCAAACATCCTTGAGAGCGCATCCGGGACGACGTTTGTTTTCCCTGGCTTATACTCAATCGTGAAATCGAGTGATTGAAGCTGCCTCTGCTTTTTGTTAAGGCGAGGCTGCTCGAGTAGAAATTTCATACTGAAGTGATCCGTGCGACCTCGCAGTGCCTCCACTTTGTCAATCATACGCCGGCTGGCGAGACTCCACTTCCAAGAATCTTTTGCTCTCGAACTTCAAGATCGCTCCCACTCCTGCATCCGAGGCATCGTCTCCACGATGAACTGCTTCTCATCTGGAAGTTGAAGAATCCGAGCCGAAAAGTTCGAACGTTGACTGTGCGTTCTCGTCCCACGAAAACCTGCCTGCACGAATGATGTCCGTCAGAGGCGACGCAACGGAAGCATAGTGCTCCACAGACTTCCAGAGGTAGTTGCAGAGCCTGAGAAAAGCATGGAGCTACTTCATGGTGGTGAGAGACCTCTCATCGCCTCCATTTTTGTTGGATAGGCTCACATTTGGCCCGCTCGTATCCGGAAGCCTAAGTACTTCGCTTCTTGCTTGGCAAAGCAGCATGTTGAGAGTTTGACGATCAGCGCATGATCCTCTAGCACTTGCAAAACCTCGTCGATGTGTGTAAGGTGTTCTTCCCAGGATCGACTGTAGACGAGGATGTCGTCGAAAAATACAATGACCGATCTTGTTCATGAGAGACTGAAAGGTGGCCAGGATGGTGAGCCCTCACCTTAAACTGGTTAAACCCTCTGTGAGTCTGAAATGCTGTCGTGATCCTGTCCTTCTCTGCCATGGATATTTGATAATATGCAGATCGCAAATCTAGCTCGGAGAAATACGCTGCTTCACCGAGTTCATCAATTAAGTCCTCAATCCGTGGGATGGGGAGTGACGTTGTTGAGCTGTCTGTAATCAGCGCACAGTCTCCACGAGCAGTCACGTTTTAGCACCAAGATTATTGGTGCCGTGTAAGGACTGAAACTGTCCTCTTTAAGAGATTGTCCATGAGCTCCTTGATCATCTTATCCACCTCCGCTCGCTCCACATGCCTCAGCTGAATGAACAGTCGTGACGATCCCTTTCTCGAGTTGGATCTTGTGCGTGATTGCTTCATGAGCACATACTCGATTGAGGAAGACCCTTGAATGCTTCCTTGCAACCTCACGAATGGCTTCCGTGGTGTACTGCTTCCTCCAACGACCTGGTTCTCTCTGGCTCCCCCTCCCCTGTGACTGGTTCTGGAGATGTCGGAACTTGGTACAAGCATTCAGTTAACCAAATGCACTGATCCTCCTGGTTGGACCTTGCAGCCGATTGAAGGAGAGACGATGCTCATCAAAGTTGACGAGAATGTCCCCAAAGAGGCGAAGTGTTTCGATGCCGAGTACTACGTCCATCGCTCCCGTCTCCAGGATGAAGAACTCTCCTTTCACTTGGTGACCACCAATGAGCATCGAGCATGAGACCCGGGCAGACGCCTCGATGACTCCCTCGTCCGCTATCTCCACCTCTAGAGGAGTCTTCTGTGGACGCGCTGCAAGCTGCAGCTTAGATAGAGAATGTTGGTTGACGGTGTCACTCCCGAGTCAATTAATGCAAAAATCGTTCCTTTGTCTCCGAAACAAGTACCCGCAGCTTTTCCCATAAAGGTCGGATAGGAGATGCATGCCTTCGCCACAGAAAGTTCTCCCTCAAGCCCCGCGTCCTCCTCTTCTCGCTGCTCCTGAGGCCAATGTGGTACATCCGTCTACAGGACTAACAATCCTTGTCATCTTTTGCATTCTCCCAAGTGCACGGAATGAGGTCCCCCTTGTCCGAGACGTGGAATTGCATCACCACGAACTTTGTTTTCGACGTCGGTTGTCCTCTACGCGCCTTGCAAACTTCCCAATGAACATTTCCCAAGCTTGAGGTCATCGCTTCCCTTTACTTGCATTGCTTCCGCTGATCGGGAGTTGGCATACCACTCTGGGTGGCTCCGGCCCTCGTTGTCTCCTTTGGTGGCCCTTGCCTCCATCGGCCGGAAAGACGAGCTTCCCACTCGTGGAACTTGAGATCCGTGTTTAATGCTAATGCCATCGGGACCGAGCGAGGAGATAGCTGAGCTATTTCGGTTGCCATTGCGATGCTAGGTAACGTTGCATCAAAGCATCCTCCGGGATGTTCCACGTCTCGTTGAATTCCTGGGCGTCTGGGACTTAAATCTGTACACCATTCCGCAGAGTTTGTTGAAGGGAAGCTCTCCCACGGACGTGATGATAAAATGCTCCCGAATCCTTTGCTTGAACTCCTCCCAACTTGGAAGCCTGGTTTTACAGTCTCGAGCAAGAAGGGACTCGGAGGCCAGGCTTTCAAGTGGAGAGCCGGCTACCTTGTGCGAATCGCGATGACCACGGCAAAGAAACCACCTCTTCAACTTGCGCAGCCATGACTCCCAGACTCCCTACTAGTTCTCGTGGATTGGAATGGATTCCCCCCACCCGCCCCACCTGTTGTCCTGCCCACTCTGCCTCTCCGGGAAGGACCATTACACGGAAACTCTCGCTCTTGAACCGGCCCTTATCCCGCTGAAAGCTGGCGCCGCTGTGAAGAATCCCCGAGTCTGCATGGGTGCTAAACGATACAGAGGATTACTTTGTATCGGCTCGCTGACCGTCGACCTGTTGGAGAACTGCTCCCCCGCGCATTGGAATGGGAAACTCTGAAGCTGTTGTCCCAAAAGTGAAGGCTTACTCCCCTACCGTGCTCCCGCTGAATGGTGGTACTTGGAACTCGAAAGGTCGGCCCTCCTCTTTCCGGAGTCCCCCATCGGCCTGGTCACTGCAGCTCCTAAGACCCGCAAGCTGTCGTCCAGATCTTCCTGCCGATCGGATATGCACCTTATCATCTTGCGAAAACATCAAGACTAAACCTTGGTAAATCCCCTGAAATCGCCGCCTTCGGCCGCCTCTATGGTGCCGCCATTGCCCGCCTCACACCAAGGAAGAACAAGGGTATATGAATACCTCCCTTTATGCACGACCAGTCCAGAGAAGATCGGTCAACAAAAACTGTGAAAGTGAAACGAAACATTCCGGCCGCTTTACCTGATAGCCGACCTCCAACGACTGGTCTCCTTCACGACGCTCGAGCGTGTGTCCCAGACGAAGTGGCTACGATACCACTGTTATCGAGCAAGGGATAGGGAAAAGAGATCCGAAGGAAAGCTCCAGCTACTCGCCGAGCATGAGATGGGGAGATGTGAGCCTGAGAGCGGGGAGGAAGGACTGCAGGGAGATAAGATGAGAAAGACAGTAATATATCCTCCGTACTCTTTCCCTCTGTTCCCCTGTCCATACGTGTTCAAGTTCACAAACAGCTACCTAAAGCTGAATTTCCCTTTAACATCGACATTTACCATGGGTTAGTGTTGAAGATCGATTGTGAGAACTTTGGAACGTCTGCATGAAGAAAAGCAAACGAATGAGGAACAAAAACTGATCGAGTTTTTCAAAATATCATTAGCTCGGTCCTCAAGAAAAACAAGGAAGAAAAAATAAATAAATCTTGACTCCATATTTCCTGGAAGCTAAGTTCTTCAGGGCAAACTTCGATGTTTAGGGGAAATTCATGTGAACTTTGTATAAAGATGCTTTTAAAACTGCATCCACTATGGACGTGGGAACAGAGGGAAAGAGTACGGAGGATATATTACTGTCTTTATCTCTGTGCAGTCCTTCCTCACCGTTCTCACGCTCACATCTCCCCATCCCATGCTCGCAAGTAGCTGGAGCTTTCCTTCGGATTCTTGCAAACTAAGCCAAGTATGTTGAGTTAAATAGACATTTATTCCTTTTTTATGCTTGTGCAGTATGTGAAGTCTAATTTAGTAACACTTAACAAAAAACAATATCAAAGTTGATTTTTTGCCATTGTGGCATCCAAAATATGCAACCTAGCTTGAATAAAGAAATCATAGGATATCCGATAAACCATGAGTGATTTGAGATGTATAAGCTTGCTAATGTACTAACTATTCTACTAACCAGCATACAGTTAATAACTCCAATAATAATTGGAAAAACACATTAGTAATTTCTATACAAATAATAAAACAGTCTAAGCTATGAAAATTTGATATTATAGATTTATAATTTATGCGTAGATTTATAAACTTGATTATTTCTAGTGACAATTCCAGTTAATTGTAATTTTATAGCTGCTTACATGTAGATAAGTGTATAGACAAGAGCTTCTAAAGTAATTTTAATAGCAAGCATCTTGCTCCGAGTTCCAATCCCAAGAAAAAAGTTTGATTTAGCTTATAAGCCCAGAAAAGATGTTTTGCCCTGTTTGATTATATAAATTATTTATTGTTGCCCTTCAAACGTATTTTGGAAAATAACAGTAAAATAGCGGAACTTATTAATTATTTGATTTGTGGAAGTGCGTTTGAACGGCAGTGGATCGTAAAGTTGGAGGTGGACATTCCGATCCGGCCGCTAACAGCTCTTGTTAGCCTAACCAGACGCGCTCTTACTGGCTTAACTAACCAGACGCTCAAAACCATGAGATTTTTACTTGTAAAGAGGGTTTTTGGTGGCATTGCCGGCGATACAGGTATGTTTTTCTCGTTCTCTCTTCTTCCTGTGAGAATGCTGGTGAAATGCGTCCCGAGCCAAAGATTCCTAGCTTTTCTGAAGAGCCCAAGAGTCCCCATTTGCTGCTCCACGAATCAAAGAGGTGTGGTTTTGGTTTTTGGTGCTAAGTTCTCTCTTTTCACCCGTATCTGGTCTCTAGGAACCAGATAAGATTCATTTGAGCGCTTTGCTTCTGGCGTGGGTACGTGGCTACCCGGTTTACCACTTTTGTTTCTCAAGCCATACAACTCGGCTTATGTTTTTCTTTGACAGGCATCACGTCTCTGCCCGAGCTCTTGAGCGAGTTTGGCCGGGATCTAGCGGAAATGAAACGATTTGTTGAGGACGACTGGAAGTTTAGCGGCTTTTTCTTTACAGAGACGAGGCAGCCATCGAGCTGTAAAAGACAGGGCTACGTCAGAAGGCTCAATTGCAAACTTCCGAGTCTTCATCATGGGTTTTTCATTGGCATTTGTATGGAAAAGGTAGCATCGCTTATTACGTTTCAGTGGGACTGACTTTATTGTTTTTTGAAAGCGCAGTCCGGGTTTACAGGAAACGATCAGACTTGTCTTTGTCTTGTCTCGAGAGTTTGGCGTCCAAGGAATTGGATTTAGAAAAAAAGGTAAAACTCTTGCATGGAGTATATTCGTGTCTACAAATGTTATCGCTACAGGAAGGCGGGCCTATACCCTCAGAAGCTAGGCTCGTGCGATAACACGGGCTATCAAAAAAAATATCGGAACTCACTATGTTCGACATTTGGATCTTGATGCTCCAACTCCAGGTTGCATCCCGAAGATCAGGTACTACGCTCTTACGGGTCTTCTTACGTGTATCGTATTTGTCGCAGAAACTGGAACATAATCTTTTAGAGATGTGCGGAATCTCATCCGAGCTGGAAGAAACGCAGAAGTGCAGGACCTGTGTCCAACAGGGATTACTCTTCGTTGCTCAGGTACATGAAACAAATGTTTCTAGAATTTCTTCAGCAAGCAGTGTTCTAAAACTTTCTTTGTTTTTCTTGTGATACTAGAGTAGAGAAGCCAACTTCAAAACAAGATAAAGCACTCGCGCTGCTCAAATCCAAGCTCCTGGTGATTCTCGAGCAAAAACCAGTTTCTTATTTTCTTGAATTAATGACACAGCTATCTTGCACTATCAGGCGTGGAGAGCTGGCTGCATGACTGCTCATTCCTTTAGACGCTACAGGGCTTGATGGAGGGAGGATACGGAAATGGGCTTGCTTTTGTGCTTCCGAGGTATGGGCTTGAACTTGTGTTTGAGTTTCCAAACAAGGTGTTCCAGAAAATAGCGTCAAGTGAAGGGGGGGAGATACGAGAGTCCCGTTTTTGCTGCAATGTAAACCACGTGTGTTGACGCCAACTGCGAGGTATTGTGCTGTGATTCTAATCTGAAAAAAAGCCAACGTGTTCGCTCTTGTAAGGTCATGGAGAGCTTTCTCACCGCCATCTTTTAAGCGCGATCGATTTATCTTCCACTTGTGCCGAGCCTGTTGCCTTGTGATTTTATCAACTTGTTTCAAAAGCTCTACTCTGGGTACACATTTTGTCTCATCATGACTTGGGAATCTGGTTGTGAGACGCAGCTGTTGTGTTGGACAGATGCACCTCGTGGTCTCTGATATGGCAGCGGTACTGGAAATGTAGACGACAGTTCTAACGTCAAGTACGTAGGCTTTGATCATTGTGCGTTAAGCTGAGTTTCTCTCAGGGCCACACAGGCATCCTCAAATGATTCGTTTCGCCGCACATCTGGTTCTGCGGAAGGATTGAAGGACAATACGGGGACAGGCTTGAATTGGCTGGAGATTGAATCCTGAGCACGTATGATCGATTTCACTTCCACTTATTGTTTATGTTATTCTTTTAGGTACGTGAGGTTTGTATTCACGCAACACAAGGAAGAGCTCGTTGGCCCTCATCCCTCTCAGATCTTTACGTGGATATGATGGAGCTGCGGCAGCCTCCCGTTGTATGGCAGAATTCCAACAGCGTTTGGTTTTCCGAGAGATCTCGCTAACGCCGCTATGGTGCAGTGTTGAGATTTCGGAAGGAAAAAGCAGAGCCATTAAAAAAAAGAACGTTGCTGCCTGTTTTTTTTTTTTTGTTTTTTTTTTCCCGGGACTTCGTTTTTTCAGCAAGAATACGTTTCTTGTGACGCACATTATCGAAGCTGGCTATCAACAATTGAGAACTGCATTTCACCTGAAGAAAGAGCAAGGTCCTTTGCTACTGCAAAACAAGCTCTTGACACAGCTACTGCTTTTCTTCACAGTAAGCTATCTTATTTTGCTTCTTCCTATTTTGTTTTCACATTTTCGTTTTCAGGTAGCGAATGAAAGTGGCTTCTCACCAACGATGAGGCCTTCCAATCCGTGGAACTATTTTCCACTGTCGTTTTATGGAGATCATCGGATCCTTGATTTGCTCCAGATCCTACAGTTTGCACTGCTCCGAACAGCGCATTGCATTTTTGCTCGGGAGAGTTGGCTTCCATTCAACGCAACTTAACGGTAAAGAGAACTTCTATCTGGCGTTTTTTGTAACCTTACGACTTGAGTGAAACAGGTGAATGTGGCTGTCAATCCTCAGAACAATATGTTACTGGATATAGAGCTCAAATGTGCGGCTCTTGAAGGGGAAGGCATTGAATCACTTGTAACAAGTGATGGTGGATTTTTGTCATTGAAGGTTTACTTTTCGCCCTGGACATCAGGATTAATTTCTTCTCTTTTTCCTTTTGTTGCAGGAGAACTTCCACATTTTCATCCTGAAGTTTTTCGAATGGATGCGTTTTCTATTCACTCGGATGGTGTACGCCGGGATGCTCCATTCGTGATTTATTTGCCGTCGTTGCTGCTTTCCAGAACTTGTGCTACGATGCATGGAGGTGCGTCAGGTTTAAATTGCAATTTCTTGCTCTGGAGCTTCGTTTCAGATTCGTGGCTGGCTTCCGGTCTTGAAATGACAGCAAGTGATAATCCTGACTGGTTGCGTCGGGAGCTCTTCAGGGACTGTTTAGCGGCAGTCAGCTAGAGGTATGTTTCTCAGGATGTATTTCAGGTTTGGGAAGCAATTTGGTGTAAGTGTTGTTTCATGATCTACATAGTTTGGTCCAGGCGCTAATGAGGCTGAATGCGCTTTTTCCACATTCCTGCAGGAAAGTACCGCGGAAATACTCATGGAGCTCCTCGTCCTTATGCCTCTAATCTAGCTGGTGCGGATCTTTACGTGCATATGATGGAGCACGGCAGAACGACAGGTACATAGTATCTTTGTTTGTCTAAATCAATCTAACCTCAGTGAGATGGTTTTCCTCAGGAATGCCATGCTACGTCCGTTACGGCTATTTGGTAATGTGATGCTTTTCTAGTTTCTTTGAGAAGTCTCGTGAACTCAAAACATCCGTTAATTGAAAGCTGAAGATACAGAGAGAGTGGAACTTACAGACAGGACATTCTGTGCACTAAATGGACTTTACTTCTCGAGCAGGTCTACCAGATTCGGATACAGTTGCGTGCTCTCTTGACAAACACAGGTATATCGTTGATAATGAAATACTGCTGTTGATTTCCTTGTCGTTCTTGGTCACTAACGTCACTACTTTCTGGACATCTTTCAGAGCTTAAAGAAGTAGTAGACTTACGAAACTGTACTTCTGCCTGAGGACTATCAGGCTTTCTTTTAAGGTTCTCGAGATCTGGTCAGTCTGCTGCCTCAAAGTTTGTGCTTATTTAATCCCAGCACTGTTCTTGCATCTTGTTCTTCTTCTTAGATCATTTCCTGCAATAGAAGAGAGCTTGCTGCGTTCCAGAACTTCTGGTGCGATTGCGATCATTCAGGTAGGCGTGTCATGACAATTCCTTGTACAGATTCGTGACAATCTGTTCAGTCGGGAGCTCGCAGGGACTGTTTCAGCGCAACTAGAGGTATTGTCACATTTTCCACAAGCTTCATAGATGTGCACAGAATGGAGGCTGGAGGCCGGAGAAAGCCACTGGATTTGTGAAAGCCTGAGCAAAAAGCTACATTCTTTTCTACGAAGCCACTCCAAGATATCAAAGAAGGACGCTCTTATTCTTTTTTGAGATCTTGGTCGGTTCTAGGACATATGAGGGTGTGTGTTCTTAAACGCGAAGATCTTGTGCCATTCTCCAAGACCTAATGGAGCTGCGAGGAGCAAGACGCGGTCTGGAGCTGCGGGGAGCAAGACGCGGTCGGCTTGGAGCTGTGGGCGTGATTGCATTTGGGCTCGTGGTCTGGATCCTCTGGAGCAAGATATACTTCCCCACACCGCCAGTGCCAGCATTCTTGGATCCGTTCCAGCATCAGGCACACAAGGTTCCTACAGACGCGATTCCTGCCGAGGAGATCACCAAATCACGAATCTTCTGGCTAGGATTTTTGTCAATGCTGTCTTCTCTAGTGGCTTCGATAGCGCTAGCAGCGTTTTGCCATGGAGTGGATCCAGCGCGCGGTGGTGTTCTGGGCGTGGATCCAGCGCGCGGTGGTGTTCTGGGCGATGGCGCGGCTCAAATTGGTGGCCAAGAGGCGACTAGGATCTTTGTGGATGTGGGAGACGCTGGCGTTGCAAATGTGCTGGAGGGAGACGCCGGTGGCATGCCGGAGGAAGACGCTGGTGTTGCAAATGTGCTGGAGGGAGCCGCCGCTGCCATGCCGGAGGGAGACGCTACCAACATCGTTGTGGATATGCCGGAGCAAGACGCTGCTGCTGGTCCAACTGAGGGAAACGCTGCTGCAGGTGAGCGAGACACTGGTGCACAGGACGAGTGCGAGGGTGAAGGAGATGTCCATCCAGGTGAAGATTTCACGGGGATCATTGTGACGGAGGGAGATGTGCCACGGGAGACAAGATTGTTGAGACGGCTCAGGGAGGAGATAGCGTGTCCATGGGAGACACACCTGCTGAGGGAGATGCTGGTGTGATGGCTCATGAGGGAGACCCTGGTGTGGCTGCTGCTGTGCCACTTGCGGGAGCTGGTGCTGTGCTACTTGCTGCTACTGGCGGCAATGCCCAGGCAGGTGATGCTCAAGCTCGAGGATCTTCAGGTGACGATATGCTGAGGTCGTTGTCCCCTCTCTTGGCTCTCCTGGCACTTTCCACCCTCAACGCGGTTGCTATGGTGGAGAAGTGGAACAGGGATCGCATAGACTACCACCACTTGGCTATCATGTCGGCCTTCGTCGCTGCATTCTCAGGTTTCTTCTGTGTGTTTGGGCTGCTTACGGTGATTGCCAAGCTGCCTGCTGGACGGGGACGAGGAGTCGCGATACTGTGTTCTTCGATGGTGCTCAGTCTTGCGTCTCCTGGGTTTTCGCTCGCGTTTCAGCACCAGCCGCCACGCATCTGGGTCACAGCGGGAATCTACGTCGTAGCATCAGCCTTTCCTCTTGGCCTGCGTGGAGTTCTTCGGCTTGGTTTCCCACGGTCATTTCTGTACTTCGGGTTCTCACTGTTTTCTCTTGTGTCAGCTTTGCTGTGGGGAATTTTCTCCCATTGGGAGACGGACTACGCCCATCTCACGGGAGCCGTTACAACTGGGTTTGCAAATGTAGCTTTCTTCGTTGCCTTCTTTCGCAAGAAATAGAAGATAGAAAGCAGCTCTTCTTGTATGTTTTTTTCTTGCTAAATGCACTCTAGTTTTTTTGTCTATGCAAGTGATTGAAAGCTGGCTAGACGAGGTGTCTTCAATGCCACGGCTGCGAGCAATTCCGAAGTACAATGAAGCTTTCTGCACTATTAGGTGTCCAACCGCGCAGAAAAACATCAAAGACTTGACAAGCCCCATGGACGAGCCTTTGATGCCAAGACTGTAGGACGAAATGCTTGAGCTCCATGTATGCCAATGCTCTTAGGCAAGTCTGAGCTGAGAGCTAGCAAGACAAACAAGAATAAGAGAACAACTAACATGTCTCCACTCGCAAGTAATTCTCAAAGCAATCGTATCCAGCAAATGCAGATGTCCAGTGTCTGAATTATCAACAAAGACACAAGAAAGTTATAAGAGTTTCTAGCAATAATTCTTTTACCTGCACTAACATCCATCAAATGGTGACTGGAGGATGCATCCATCCTCTAGCATTTCCTGGTAGTGTCAACCAGTGACCTGCAAAGATGGCTCACCACCTCTAACAAAGCCTCCACAATCTCTACGTACAGGAAAGCAAAGTTCTCTTTCAAGTATCATCACATCTTGGAGACCAACCGCTTCGGAAAATCCGTGTTGTATGTGTGACTGCAGAAAGAAGCCAAAACGTTTATGCCTTTACTCTTTGAGGAAGTACAAAGCAGTACCTGGCTCGCTCACATTGATTCCAACACCATTGACCTCGTACTGACAAGTGCCTGATGGAACACAATAAACTCGAGGTGAATCCATGATCAAAGCGAATAGCTCTCAGCCTCATCATCCACATCCTTTTCTTGTTATTTATAGGATTACATATTAGGGCTTGATAGGTTGGGTATGGAGATTACTAGTACGAGTGTTCCATTGTGGTGGTTCTTCTTACCTGTTTCAATTATTATGACTTGGGCAATTAGTTTTTATGTTTTCACCATCTATATCACATTTTATCCTCCAAAGTGGAATTGCCCAAATGGTGTTCTTTATTGTCAAAGAGACTGCAATGCACTAAGCCCTAGCTACCATTGGGGTTTTACATCATATTACGTGGCCTATGCAAAAATTGGGCCAAAATACTCTGCCATAAGATATTGGCAACTTGTTTGCTTCACTCGTCATGTATATATATTTCTATCAGTAGGCTATATTATTGGAGGTAATATTAGAACAGTTGTATAAAATGCTATTGCTAAACTGATTTTACAGTTATTATTGGAATCGTTACTCTCTTCCACTACAGGTGCTCTATGCTGGTTAGTATTTTTATTGGAGCAGCTAGTGCATTAGCCAGCACATATGTCTCTAATCGCTCCTGGTTTATTATTTGGCAAGTTTTGTCTGCAATAGCACATTCTTGTGCAGGAACATCAGCTGTAATGAGATGGTTCATGGAAACACCCTGTTTTATTAGTTGGAAAAGATGGCTTTTTCCAAATCATGGATTTGCCGACTGTCTGAGGGAAGATGACAATGTTATATGTGAAGTAATTGGTACATATCCTATAGGTTCTCTTTGTGTGCCAAGTTGCATACCTATCACTTTTGTGTGTAAACATTTATATCCAGACTGGAGGTGGGGAAATAGGATGGTGTGTGTCATGGACTCTATTGTTGTTGTGGTGTTAGTGGGGGAAATGTTAGGACGAGTTCTGATGAACAAAAGAAACAGTGGGAGAGTAGCAAATGTTTCCAATTAAGTTTGTAATATTAAAGTGATCAAGAGAACTTTGGGCTGGTTGAAACTAGAATTCATGTGCCACCACAGATAATGCGAGTATTCAGAGAGTGTGGATTTTTTAATATATAGCAGCATAGACTTCTGCGGTGACATTACGACTTTGCCAGTCATACACAAGAGAGAGAGAGAGAGAGAGAGAGAGAGAGAGAGAGAGAGAGAGAGAGAGAGAGAGAGAGAGAGAGAGAGTTTAGGGTTTAGAGTTGGAATATCAACTTAGACTGTTTCATTATGCTAATGTGTTTTTCCAATTATTATTAGAGTTATTATTACTCTCTTACATTGTATGCTGGTTAGTATTTTTATTGGAGTACATTAGCAAGCATATATGTCTCAAATATGGTTTATCATTTTGTCTGCAACAGCACATTCTTGTGAAGGAAGATCAGCCATAATGAGGTAGTTCATAGAAGCACCTTGTTTTCTTTTCCAAATCATAGGTTTGCAGGCGCCCAGGGGATGATCACAACAATATATGTGAAGTGATTGGTGGACATCCTATAGTTTCTTTATGCGAGCCAGGTTGCATACCTTGTGTAGACGTCTAGGGAAATAGGATGGTCTGCGTTGTGGACTATATTGCTGTTGTGGTGTTAATGAACAAAAGATATATTGCAATCCAATGAGCAATTGAACGAATTAAGCACTTTGAGCTACAATGTTCCCGATCGTCTTCTTTAATTCACACTTTCCTGACAAGCGCAGTTGCAGGGGATCGAACCCCAGTTGTCCGCGTCACACTATACTACAACTTAAGGAAAAGAAGGAATAAGCCTAAACTTGTGCCAACGATTAGCACCAATTCTGTGTTTTCGGATCCTCAAAGCGACACTTGAACAGTTTCTAGAGCTTTTTTCAAACAATAGTTTGTTGAGAATTTTGGTCCTGAACAAGCGAATCGATTTTCTTTCTGAGGGTAAACTTAAGAAAGTGCCGACTGAAGAACGCACCGCTTATAGGTCCCTCAAAAGAAAAAGAGAAAAAAGGCATTTGAAACACATAAAATCTTACGGGTGGAAGCTTGACAATAAGCACAGGGCATTCAGCGTGCTGTGCAGCATAGCCACTCACGCTTCCCAGGAACGTCCTGTCTAAATCCACGGTTTGATTGAAAACAAAGAGCCCATCCTATCATTATCCATACAAAAAATTTCCAAGAAAACATCTCTAGCTATGGATTTCCTAACTACAAGGAATGGAAACTAGAGCTTTTTGGCGATCCTTTTCACCATTCCGAGGCCTCGGCTTCCCAGTATTAACATTGTTGGAGGGAACTCGTTGACAGTCTCTAGCAGCTTTTCTCGGGCATCCCCTTTCTTGGATACAATCATGCAAGGTATCTGTTTTGTAGAAAAAGAAATCACGAGCTAGTCAAAAGTTTATCACAAAGTACCTTAACGGGACTCTCGTATCTCTCCCCTTCACTTGACCCTATTTTCTGGAACACCTTGTTTGGAAACACAAACACAAGTTCAAGTCCATACCTCGGAAGCACAAAAGCAAGCCCACTTCTATATCCTCCTTCCTCCATCAAGCTCTGTAGCGTCTAAAGCGCGCTCGTTGAATGAGCAGTCATGCAGCCAGCTCTCCACGCCTGATAATGAAAGATAGCTGTGTCATTAATTCAAGAAAATAAGCAACTGGTTTTTGCTCGAGAATCACCAGGAGCTTGGATTTGAGCAGCGCGAGTGCTTTATCTTGTTTTGAAGTTGGCTTCTCTCCTCTAGTATCACAAGAAAAACGAAGAAAGTTTTAGAACACTGCTTGCTTAAGATGTCTAGAAACATTTGTTTCATGTACCTGAGCAACGAAGAGCAATCCCTGTTGGACACAGGTCCTGCGCCTTTGCGTTTCTTCCAGCTAGATTCCGCACATCTCTAAAAGATTATGTTCCAGTTTCTGCGATAAATACGATACACGTAAGAAGAGGACCCGTAAGAGCGTAGTACCTGATCTTCGGGATGCAACCTGGAGTTGGAGCATCAGAATCCAAATGTCGAACATAGTGAGTTCCGATATGTTTTTGATAGCCCGTGTTATCGAACGAGCTTCTGAGTGCATAGGCCCGCCTTCCTGTAGTGATAACATTTGTAGACACGGATATACTCCATGCAAGAGTTTTACCTTCTTTTCTAAATCCAATTCCTTGGACGCCAGACTCTCGAGACAAGACGAAGACAAGTTTGAGCAGTCTCATCGTTTCTTGTAAAGCCGGACTGCGCTTTCAAAAAGCAATAAAGTCAGTCCCGTTGAAACGTAAGAAGCGATGCTACCGTTTCCATACAAATGCCAAAGAAGCACCCATGATGAAGACTCGGAAGTTTGCAATTGCGCCTTCTGACGGAGCCCTGTCTTTTACAACTCGATGCTTCTCAGCTGCCTCGTCTCCGTAAAGAAAGAGCCGCTCAACTTCCAGTCGTCCTCAACAAATCGTTTCACCTGACTGCCTCCGCAAGATCCCGGCTAAACTCGCTCAAGGGCTTGGGCAGAGACGTGAAGCCTGTCAAAGAAAAACGTAAGTCGAGTTGTATAGCTTGAGAAACAAAATTGGTAAACCGGGTAACACCAGAAGCAAAGCACTCAAATGAATCTTCTCCAGCGTATCTGGTTCCTAGAGACCAGATACGGGTGAAAAGAGAGAACTTAGCACCAAAAACCAAAACCACACCTCTTTGATTCGTGGAGCAGAAAATGGGGACTCTTGGGCTCTTCAGGAAAGCTAGGAATCTTTGGCTCGGAACGCATTTCACCAGCATTCTCACAGGAAGAAGAGAGAACGAGAAAAACATACAAGTAAAAATCTCATGGTTTTGAGCGTCTGGTTAGTTAAGCCAGTAAGAGCGCGTCTGGTTAGACTAACAAGAGCTGTTAGCGGCCGGATCGGAATGTCCACCTCCAACTTTATGATCCACTGCGGTTCAAACGCAAAAATCTCACTTCCACAAATCAAATAACTTAATAAGTTCCGCTATTTTACTGTTATTTTCCAAAACACGTTTGAAGGGCAACAATAAATAATTAATATAATCAAACAGGGCAAAACCTTTTCTGGGCTTATAAGCTAAATCAGACTTTTTTCTTGGGAGCAAGATGCTTGCTATTAGAATTACTTTAGAAGCTCTTGTCTGTACACTTATCTACATGTAAACATTACTAATCTATAAAATTACAATTAACTGGAATTGTCACTAGAAATAATCAAGTTTCAAAAATATAAATCTATGCATAAATTACAAATCTATAATATCAAATTTTCATAGCTTAGACTGCTTTATTATTTGTATAGAAATTACTCATTAGCAAGCATATACATCTCAAATCACTCATGGTTTATCATTTTGTTTACAACAGCACATGCTTGTGAAGGAAAATCATCTATAATGAGGTGGTTCATAAAAGCACTTTGTTTTCTTGGCTGCAAACGATGGCTTTTTCCAAATCATGGGTTTGCAGGTGGAGGGGATTTTTGTTAAGCTAATGAAAAATAGAGTAACATAAAATTAACAAACTAAGCCAAGTATGTTGAGTTAAATAGACACTTATTCCTTCTTTATGCTTGTGCAGTAAAATACAAATGTTAAGTCTAATTTAGTAACACTTAACAAAAAACACTAGATCAAAGTTGATCTTCTACCATTGTGGCATCGTCTACACAAAATATGCAACCTCGCTCGCATAAAGAAATCATAGGATATCCACCAATCACCTTATACATATATATTGTAACATTGAGCCTAAGCTTGCCAATTGGGTGTGTTTTCATATGGGTTGCTTAAGCTTTATGCGTTTGTTTTATTAATATGGTTTTGTAATTAATTTTTTAATTAGCGCTCCACCTCCATTTTCTCCTGCTGAAGCTGGCAAAGCTGGAGAATCAGTGGAGACAGACCTATAGTGCTTCAATCATGACTATGGTGCTTGCTATTTTGCTAGCCAGCACAAGGGCCGTGCTACCTGGATCAAAAAAGAAATGAGCTAAGCTATCTACTCTTCCTTGCGTGTAGCCAACACTCCTGCTGCACATCCTCCTCACATAAGAAAAGCAACCGTTATGGTACAAAAAATCTCAACTCACTATATTGACAATGCCAGCCTCTCTATTCACAATGCTAGACCAGCTGAAGAAAAAGAAAAAAAGAAAAAAACAACAACAATCTAATGTACCACTAGATCACTTACCACAGATGATCCCTCAGACTGACGAGCCATTACTGGATCATCATGGAAAGAGAAGCAACTCTCCTCTGCGGCTGAAGCGGGTAATGGATAAACTAGTACTGATAGGTGATAAAAGAATAATCAGACTGCATGTTCGGATAACAATCATGTGGCTTTTCTTGCCCATTTGCGCAGGATCATAGCCGATCGTCATCAGGAATCCGCGCATGCTAGGTCGCGATCTTGGTTCTTTATTTTCTTGTGCTGCCATGAGAATCAGTCTTATTTCCAAAGGACCAACTCTTAAAAAGTTTTTGAAGTTTAGATGTGGTATGGTCTGGGAAAGACTCTATCCGAGCAAGCAGCACTCGAGTTTGGGAAAGAAAGTGGCATAGATGTGATCACAATCGCTCCCAGCTTAATCGCTGGAGAACTTCTCTCGTCCAGGGCCACCGCGCTCCAAGGCAAGCCTTTCTATATCGGAAGAAAAAAAACGGGACGTTTTTGAGATTCCAAACTCATTGCAGGAGCCAAGCAGTGGATAGATCACGCTGGATACGTCCATCTCGACGACGTTGCTCAAGCTCACCTCAGGATTAAGGTCCGGTCGCCGGCAAATTTCAAGGGATTCAGCTCCAGAAAGCTTCAGGACGACCTTGGGATCCAATTCAAGTCGCTGGAGCAAATGTTCGACGATTGCGTTGAGAGCCTGGAACGCAAAGGCCTCTTAACTTGAGTTTGATAGTTTACTTCCAATAAAGTGCTATGGAAATAACACGAGCACCTTGAATCAGTCAAGCTTCCAATAAAAAACAAAGAAGATAGAAGTGCAAGAGTAGAATATCTTTCTCTGCATTTACAAGACATTCTGGGGAATTTACCCTCAATCACCCATTCAAACCAGAACTCGCACGTCTTCAATGCCAAATTCGTCCCGATTGTCTGGTCTACTTTCTTTATGCGTTTGATTGAGTTTGCTGGATGCATCAACTTTGTCTTTGCATAATTGCATAATTGCATTACCTCTGTTTGATCTTGGTCTTGCTGACTTCGCTCCATTGTTTAATTTTTCTTGGTCCGGGGTTTGTCTCCTGAGATCATGGGATTTGGGCAAGTTAGACCGAAGAAATCGATATTGGAAAAATAGAGAATCTAGTGAGGATGGCAACTGAGTCTTCCTAGATCTCCAAATCCATAATCGTCAGCAAGCCACGAAGCCGGTTCACAACGTCCTTCTTGCTAGAGGATTGGCTGTAATTGTAAATTGTATTAAGCTTTGACTCGACAAAAGAGCTCCACACCGATTCATCCAAGACGTCATCGGGCTTGAAGTCGTTCCTCACGCGAACAGCAGCCACGGCTGACGTGCACACCACTCGCTTGACTGTCGTGGATCTCTTGCAGGCATTGAGCACCTTTAGAGTTCCAAGCAAGCATGGATCAACAATCTCGGCCTGGAAGAAGAACCGAAAGCAAAAACAACCAGTAAAAGTGATACAAGGTTAGACCGAATCGAAGGAGTCAAGCAAAGTTACCTGTGGATCCTCCTTGTAGCTGATAGTCATGGCAGCCGCGACATGGAATACTCCATCGCAGCCTTGAACAATATCGTCAAAGGCCCCTTGCGTGACAAGGTCGGCCTTCTTGAGCTCCAGCCTCTACTGGAAGCTCCCACAGGTGGGAAGTCTCGCTCGCATCGTCTAGTACCACAAACAAGAGAATTAGACTATGTTTCTTCTCGTTTCTATGTACCTGGATCGCGCACAGTCCCGACGACGTGATATCCCTCCTCCAATAGCCGCTTCACGAGCCAAGATGCCAGGAAGCCAGAAGCGCCGGTGACACACACCTTCTCCTCGTTCGCCATAATGATCCTAAAGTTTGACCACGGCTCTCACTCACACAAGAACGATCAAATACTACTTTCAAACCTTGTCAATGCTGGACAATGTATAGAACTTCGCTTGAGCGATGATCTTCCAGAGATTTTCTATCAACCTGTGATAGAAAAAGCTTCCTAGAGCTTGAGAAACACGAACTCCTCCACCGCCGGGATGGCCCTGACCCTGTGCAGCACTTCCTTGCTCGGCTCCTCATCCACGCCAATCGCCATCACCGCCTGCTTCCTGGGCGAAGTCCTCCCCACGCTCATGAAGCTCACGTTCACGTTCCCGTCGCCCAGCAGCCCGCCAACTTTCCCGATGATCCCCAGCTGATCCACCTGTTTGGACAGGATGACCGATGCCTCCAGGCTCACTTCCATGCTAAACTCCCCGACCTGCGAGAGGTGTGGAAGCACGTCCTTGATACTGCCCGCCACCGCCACCGCCACCCTTCCACCTTCGGAGACTGCACTGGAGAACTTGGACTCGAAGTTGGAGATCTTCACTGCGAAGCTCTCCAGCGGCTGGGCCTGCGTGCTCCCCCCCTTCCTGATCCGGATGCCACACTACTTTTCGACGTAGTCCATGTTCACGAGGTTGATGAAGGTGTCCGACACTGGCTCCACCAGGTCCTTGACGATCATTGCAGGTGTCTAGATCGTCCAGGGACCGGGCGGACGTGTAGCTGTGTGCCAAAGTTATTAATGTGCCTTTAGCAACTGGCCATTGTAGTGGAGCACGACTGAATATCATTTATATAGAACCAAAATGTTTAGATGCTATATCATGTTATGCTTGGTGCCATTGTATTTTTTGGAATTGACTTCTTACAATGTCTGTGTTTTGCTTTAAGCCATCCTATGCATGTATCACGTTTATCTTTCCCAACACATCGTAAAGCCCAGAATGAGTCATCAATGTCCTTCTCCACAATGTTCACTACACCCAAGTTTGGATCTCTAATTTGTGTTGTTGTGGTTTCAGTATTGGCAAAGTTTAAATTCTTTCTGGAT